TATATAAGCAGTAAATTAATTAAATGTGTATTTGAAATGAACAGCTTCAATTGCACTGTTTATATACACCTGACACTCCTCCAAGTGAGGGACTGAAATTGCAGAGATGGATTTAATGGTAAAAATGCAATTGCTCTGTTTTCTTCTTCTACTCAAAAGAATTCCTCCACTTTAATTACTCTAAAAATAGCATAGTTAAAAATACTAGCTTTGAAATGCTTGAAAAAGTGTGCTTTATTGCTCACTAGTTTCAGAACTATGTTGAAGATCTGAGGTTATCCAGTGTGTTGTCTATGATAAATATTTGGAGTGGCCAACACGTGATGCACATTTACAGATACAAGGTAAATGTTGTGCACTCGAGATTTAAACTGACTTCATTAGCATATGAGATTGATTTACCACTATGTAGAAGAGTGACCTTTCACCATAGATCTATTGTAGCTATATTTAGAACATGGTAATTATACATTTAGAGTACACATAAATGCATGTGTTTAAGTTTTTGGGTTGTTTTCCTCCTTCCGTGGTCCTTTCCATATCTGCTTAGACTGTTTAAATTTCTTCCCCCTTTTTTTGGTCACTTTGTGGAGAAGGCTTCCTGGACGGTAAAGATCTGTTCCTGATTGTATGCTGATAGAAATGTTAAACAACTGTGGAACTTCTTGAAGCCCTGAGAGACAGAAAATAAAAATTAATTAGCTGGTGCTTTTTTATAGAGACTTGGATCGTACATGCAGGTTTTTTTATTTGTCTGTTAAAATAAGAACTATTCCATTTATAATCAGTGCTACTTCTTGTTAAATGCTGGGAACACTAGTATGTTTTCTATTAATATTTCCTAGAAGCAGAGTGTTAATTCTAAGCCTTCTGCTTAATATGTGTCTTGCTTTTCCAGGAACTGATGAGTCCCCAGAACCACTGCCAATCCCAACATTTTTGTTGGGATACGATTACGATTTTCTGGTGCTGTCTCCATTTGCTTTGCCGTACTGGGAGAGACTGATGTTGGAACCGTACGGATCTCAAAGAGATGTTGCTTACGTTGTGGTGTGCCCCGAGAATGAGGCTCTGCTGAATGGAGCAAAAAGCTTCTTTCGAGATCTGACTGCAATCTATGAGGTACATCACTGGTGGCAGTGAGCAGCCAAATGGGTTTTTGAAAGACTGTTTCTAACACATACTCGTAACTACTTATCGGGCTTGTCCCAGGTGATATAGACGCTTGCACAGAATGCTGTCTCGGAAGGCTGCTCGAAAGGATTTTAGGAATGGGCCCTTGGAAGACAAGGGTTGTTAGCACTGCTCACCGTTCCTTGTAGTGCTAACTGTGTTGAGAGTCTTTATCTGATAAACGCCACTCAGTGGTAGGACTCTGTATTACCATAATTGTTTTAGCTACGTTTAATTAATTAATTAAACACATCTATTACTTGGATTGTGATTAGCATTAGAGTAGATAATGTATCAACCTGTTTTTCATGTGTTTAGGAAAACCTGAAAATAAACCGTAAAAATCACCATAAAACGTATCATACTGGTATAGTATTCTAGAATTAAAATATTACTTTGGAATATCATAATTAAACTATGCATGCTCTGTCTTTACATATATGCTCCTTTATGTGATATCTAACAGTCTTTAAGGCTTGCAAATCCCTTATCTTGCATCTTCTATTTTACCTTCTTTGCAGTCATGCAGGCTTGGTCAGCACAGACCTATCTGTAAGTTACTGCCTGATGGGATCATGAGAGTTGGACCTACTGCTTCAAAGAAACTTTCGGAGAAGTTGGTCACAGAATGGTTCTCACAGACAGCTAATGCCAACAATGAAGCATTTTCCAAACTCAAGCTATATGCCCAAGTTTGCAGATATGAGCTGGGTATGAAATTTTTTTCAGTGTTTCTTATTTCATAGAATTATCACTTCCTCTATTTCAGTAGAGGAGAATAAATAATTGCATGTATTTATTGAGTCTTATTGTTTGTTGCAGTTTTCTGATTGTAAGCTTGGAGGGAGGGGAAATCTAACCGCCCCCCCCTCCATATATTTAGGTACATTCTGAAGTGGCTTCTTGTCATCTAGCTGTATCTTTAGGGAATGGCAGTGTTGCTGCCTGACAGGGATTTTGGTTGTCTTTGTTGACTTAACTTCTGAAGCAGTGATTTCTAACACTTCAACATGGCTAGAAAAAAAAAAAAATCTGGACATTTCTGAGTGAGTCTTATGAGAATACTAGAATTTGAAAATTTCATACAGGCACTTTAATTTGAGAGGTAAAATGTATGCTAAGGGTTTGCTCTTAGTTTTGTTAAAATTAGAGACAGATGAAATATGCTTAAAAACAGCTGCAATATAAAATTTACCCTTTCTTTTTCTTGTTTTTCAGGTCCTTATCTTGCTTCTCAGCCTTTGGACAGTTCTTTACTTGCCCAGACAAATCTAGTCCCTCCTTCTAGCCAGCCGGTCTCTGCTCTGCCCCCAGTGACAGCCAACACTGGAAATCTGAACACTCCATCGTCCGCTCCTGCAGCTCCCACCAGTAGTGCTATGCCAGTGACATCAAACAGTGCCATGTCTTCTGCCGTTACTACAGCTAATTCAACCTTGACTACCACTGCCCCGTCGTCCTCTTCTGCCAATATAGGCAGTGGGATACCAACAAGCAAGCCTTCTTCATTTCCGCCTTTTAGCAGTATGAACAATACCACTTCTGCCTCCCTGCCTGCTCAGGCTGCAACAGTCCAAAATGGGCAAACAGGAGGGCAGCCGCAACAGCCAACGCTGCAAACGGCAGGGATGTCTGGAGAGATGACTTCAGCGCCCGCACAGCCCCATCCAGAAGTTTCTGAAAGGTAACGAACTGCAGAGTCAAAGCTGCTTCAGCTAAAAAAAAAAACCCCTCAGCTCAACCTGTTAATGTCATTCTTGTCCCGTCAATAAAAATCCTATATTTCTTTTCTAGTCACCAGGCTGCTTTTTAGGGAAAATGAGAGTTCATTCATGGTGGAGCTGAACTTTTTTTTGTTCCAGTCTTAGCTGTAGTTCTAATTACATCTCATTCTCTGCTGTGGTGCAGAAATAAACTTTCTCTTTTTTCTTCTCTTTCTAAAGAGAAAAAATACACCAAACTACTCACTTCTATATTTTTAAGGAGGTGTGGGATGGGGGAGCAGAAAGAGATGACTGGCACCATCTTAAAGTTCTACTCTCTATTATCAAGGTTACAGTAGTAAAGATAGCTCTTACTGAGAGACTGACCTTGTAGGTATTCTTGTTCCCCAGTTGAAGTAAGAGCTGAAGGCTAAAGACAAGACAAGAAATACTGAGTTGCTGATAAGCTTACATACACAAATTAAATTAAAGGACTGTTTTTTACACCACAGTTGACTCAAAGGTCTTTCAGATTAATATTTGACAATTTTATCATAGTTTTAAAATAAAAATAAATCTTTATAAAACTCAGCTTTTTGTAACTGGTTTCAAAATTTCATTTCCAGCACTATGGATCGTGATAAAGTTGGAGTCCCTACAGATGGAGATTCACACGCTATCACCTATCCACCTGCAATTGTAGTTTACATAATTGATCCTTTTACATATGAAAAAAAGGATGAGAACAATAGCTCATCTAGTTTGTGGACACTTGGACTTCTGCGCTGCTTTTTAGAGATGGTTCAGGTTCTTCCTCCTAACATCAAGAATATAATTTCTGTGCAGGTGAGCCAACATTTATAGAAATGTCCTGAACAAAAGTAGCTTTTGGCTTTGGCTGTGTTTTGGAGGTGATAATGCCCCAGGATGATAGTTCCATTTGCTTTGTAAACGTTACTTACAGTTCTATAGCTGTTAAATCATTAAGATCATAGGTTTTAGAGCAGTTTGGGTGGTGTTAACCAAAGCTAAATCCCGTAATAGATGCCAAACTTTTAAAATTTGAAAAGTAGAGTACTCAAATACTATCTCAGTCTATTTATTCTAATGATGAAACAGTAATTATTTCCCCCGCTCCTCTGTTATCTGTTTTAGATTGTCCCATGTCAGTACCTTCTACAACCTGTGAAACACGAAGACCGGCAGATTTACACTCAGCATTTAAAATCTTTGGCATTTTCAGCTTTTACTCAGTGTCGGAGACCTCTTCCAACTTCCACCAACGTGAAAACATTAACAGGCTTTGGTCCAGGTTTAGCAATGGAAACTGCTCTTAAGAGCCCTGATGTGAGTATTGTTAACGTGATTGTGTGAACATGCAGATCGGAGAAATGTCTGTTCATTAAATCACTGGTGTCTTTCCTGTTAACTAACTACAGTTCTTAAGAAGAATTGTTTTTCAAGCTTCATTGTCTGTTCTGTCATCTTTATAGAGACCAGAGTGCATTCGACTATACACCCCTCCTTTTATACTGGCTCCTGTAAAGGACAAGCAAACAGAACTAGGAGAAACTTTTGGAGAAGCTGGCCAGAAGTATAATGTGCTTTTTGTAGGCTACTGTTTGTCTCATGATCAAAGATGGCTTCTCGCATCCTGTACAGATCTCTATGGAGAACAGTTAGAAACTTGCATAATTAATATTGATGTACCAAACAGGTAAGAATGAACCTGTTAAATTATTTTTTTAGCATGTATATCTTTTTTTCATTCCCCTGAAAAATTAGTTTGCTTATGATGCTGTGAGAATAGCTCTGCCTTTTGTAAACTCGCTGAAGCTTGCAAAACTAGCTGAAGCAAGTGGATATTTTTCCTATTATGTGCATATTGTTTTGAGTGATATTTCTAGAAGAACATTATTTGGTTTCATGTGATTCTTGAATGTTTTTGTATGTGTGTTCATACTCCCCACACACACTTGCTGTTTTTTGATGTCAGTGTTACAATATGATTAAAACAAACAAAAAAACCCTGAACAAACCACAAAAAAATAGCCCATAGAAACCAAACAAACTGAAGTTGCAGTCGGTGTACTTCAGTGCTACTGTCCTTGGGTCCTGTGAATGTTCAAGCTCATACAAATAACAAGTTCCAAATGTGGCAGTAAAAACTTGTTGCAGATGAGTTCTAGTTTTATTTTCCCTTATTTCTTTCTTCTAGAGCTCGCAGGAAAAAGGGCTCTGCCCGCAGACTTGGTCTTCAGAAACTTTGGGAATGGTGCTTGGGACTTGTGCAGATGAGCTCTTTGCCGTGGAGAGTTGTAATAGGCCGTTTAGGAAGAATAGGACACGGGGAATTAAAAGGTAACATTAGCATTTTTAGAGTCTAAGTCTTGATTTGAAGCTTTCATTTTTCAGGAATACAAAGTGTCTGTCCTTCTTTCTGGAAGAAAACCTAAATAAGTTTAGAGTTTCTTTTGTATAATCAAAAATTAACTCATGTGAAGTTTGCACCACACACTTACAGGTAAAATATGTATTCTGCAGCCAGTGCTGTTCTTCTAAACAAACCTATGTCCTTTATATCCTCAGACTGGAGTTGTTTGCTGAGTCGCCGAAACCTTCAGTCTCTCAGCAAGAGACTGAAAGACATGTGCAGAATGTGTGGTATCTCTGCTGCAGACTCTCCCAGCATTCTCAGTGCTTGTTTGGTGGCAATGGAACCACAGGGGTCCTTCATTATTATGCCAGGTATTTGAGAAACTCTCTCTTGTCTCTTTTTTTGGCAAAGGAACTAATAGCTCGGACTTAGCAAAACTAAGGAAACATTTGCTTTCTCTTCCAAAGATTCTGTATCGACTGGCTCTGTATTTGGACGCAGCACCACTTTAAATATGCAGACATCTCAGCTGAATACCCCACAGGACACATCATGCACTCACATACTTGTGTTTCCCACATCTGCATCTGTGCAAGTAGCATCGTCAACTTACACCACTGAAAACTTGGATCTGGCCTTTAACACAAACAATGGTTAGTAGATCAGATTTTTTTCTTGTGTTAAAAACAAACCAACCAGATACCCCATGTCACTCCCTCTACAAGATGACTGTTTTTTCTAATGAACTACAAGATTTATGGGGAAAATGACTTCATTTCAGAATGCTTTGTCATATCCTGTATGTGGGGGAATTATAGAAATTCACTGGTCTTGTTCTTTTTCAAGATGGAGCAGATGGAATGGGAATCTTTGACTTGTTAGACACTGGAGATGATCTTGATCCTGATATTATAAATATTCTTCCTGCATCCCCCACTGGATCCCCTGTACATTCTCCAGGGTCCCACTACCCCCACGGAGGTGATATCGGCAAGGTAAGTATTTGAGAAAATACAGAGGGGTGCGTGTGTTTTGGTTGATTGTTCTCCGTCTGCTAATTTCCTTTTGTGGAATGAAAGGTTCCTACGAAATATTTTGAATCAATTGGATGTTGGATTGTCTTAGCAATATTCCTGTAATGCTTGGATATTTCAAAATGCTTTGTGTCTTGAAAACTACAGGTAATTTCTATTAAGTTTGTGCTCCTAATATTAAGCCTGTTGTTTTACAGGGTCAAGGTACAGACCGATTGCTTTCAACAGAATCTCATGATGAAGTAACAAATATACTGCAACAACCACTGGCCCTTGGTTATTTTGTGTCAACTGCCAAAGCAGGTCCATTGCCTGACTGGTTTTGGTCAGCGTGTCCTCAAGCACAAAATCAGTGTCCCTTGTTTCTTAAGGTACTGTAACTTCAGCAGGCTGCAAGCCGCCTTCCTGGGCAGTGTGGCACAGAAAACTGTGCAGTGGGCAGGGACTTATGAGAACTACTGTGTTTAAAACAAAGTTGGTTTGTGTCTCGTGGAATATGTCTGCTTTTGTTTAAGAAGAGGTTAGGTTTTGAATATTTGAGCTTTGGCTTTTTGTCCTAACATTTTTAAAGAAAGAAAAATTGTTAATGGAAGCAACAGATGTTCTGAAGGGCTCTGCTCTTCTGATGGGTTCTTATTGGTAGTCTGGACTCCTTTTTCTGAATTTGTGTTATGGTGTTTTGTAAGAATAGGTTGAGTTTCTAGACAGATCTCTGGTTAATGCTTGATTCATGTGAGGACTGGTAGTAGAGAGGGAAGTACACAAGTGTAATGTAATATCTTATTAGTAATGAGTAAAAAAGTAATAATAAATAAATCTCTTTATGTATTGCACAAAGCATAAAAGGCAGGTTTTCCATCTGGCTGTTGCCGAGTGATAGCCATTGTATCCTGGGGTGTATCAGGAGGGGGGTGGTGAGTAGGTCGAGAGAGGTTCTCCTCCCCCTCTACTCTGCCCTGGTGAGACCGCATCTGGAATATTGTGTCCAGTTCTGGGCCCCTCAGTTCAAGAAGGACAGGAACTGCTGGAGAGAGTCCAGCGTAGGGCTACAAAGATGATTAAGGGAGTGGAGCATCTCCCTTATGAGGAGCGCCTGAGGGAGCTGAGTCTCTTTAGTTTGCAGAAGAGGAGACTGAGGGGAGACCTCATTCATGTTTATAAATATTTAAAGGGTGAGTGTCTCGAGGATGGAGCCAGGCTCTTCTCGGTGACAAACAATGATAGGACAAGGGGTAACGGACACAAACTGGAACACAGGAGGTTCCACTTCAATTTGAGAAGAAACTTCTTCTCAGTGAGGGTGACAGAGCCCTGGCCCAGGCTGCCCAGAGAGGTTGTGGAGTCTCCTTCTCTGCAGACATTCAAAACCCACCTGGACGCCTTCCTGTGCAACCTCATCTGGGTGTTCCTGCTCCGGCAGGGGGATTGGACTGGATGATCTTTTGAGGTCCCTTCCAATCCCTAACGTTCTGTGATTCTGTGTGTGTATCATCGCTCTGGATATTGTCTGATGCCCTTATCTTTTTATGGCACAATCAAGACATACTTGGCACGTTTAAGGCTATACGTTAGTATACGGAGAAACTTTCTGTATTAACATTGTTCACTTTTGACTTAAATTATCATCTCTAATACTATGCTTCATTTTCTAATGATGCAGATATATCTTCTGTAGCCTTATTTGTGTCTGGATTAGCGGTTTCTCTTGTCCTAAGCTCAGCTATGGCTTTGGTATAAGATATTTTTTTGAATATAGGATTTATTATTTACCCTAAGTGGCTCTATATATGGATTATAAATAGACCAGTCTTATGGAAAGCAACTGAATGTCCAAGTCTGTATATTACTGAGACATCTTGGGTCACTTGAGTTGCTTGTTTAATAATCACTTAATGTAGGCAAAGGGATTTAAAAAAAAAAATCTATTGTTTATGCACTACTAGCACTGTGCTTTTAGAAGAGATCTAAGTGTATTTTCCTTATAGTCTGATAATTTCTGCACTTGGTGGTGGCCTAACGATAAAATTTATTTTGATGTTATTGTCAGGGAATAGAAGGTGACTGCAAGGTACGGGCAACAATACAGGGGGAAGAAAATATGCTGTAGGTGAATCAGGCAGTAACTGCTGGCATCTTTCTGCCTTTTTTAGGCCTCTTTGCACCTCCACGTGCCTTCAGTGCAATCAGACGAGCTACTCCACAGTAAACACTCCCATCCACTTGATTCTAATCAAACTTCTGATGTGCTCAGGTATTTATGATTGATCACTTGCAGAAATATTGTGCGTTTCATTTTAATACTGCTGCAGTGAAGCTGCATATTTGTTTGTTTTTCTGGCTGTTTTTTCTTTTGTGCTGCTGATATTCTTAGTACATCACAGAGACAATATAAATTGCTGTGCTTTGAGTGATTAAAGGGTGGCTTTATCACAGAACAGTGCAATTAAAAACAAACATGTCTAAGCCCTTCTTTAACTATAATCAGTGTTGATTAAAATGAAAATATTTGAAAGACAATTAATTCCTCAAGCTAAAAGAGAGTTTGAGGTGTAACACAGAAGATGGTGCATAAATGAGTGGAAAATATTTATAGTAAAGCCAGAATCTTGCATAGGAATCTTGTGGGAATACTGAAATGCTGAAGTACAAGAGTCTAGAGGAACTCCTGTAAACATAGGATGCTTGTTAAGAAAACATCAAATTTTTTTCTTCATGGTTTTTTTGTGTATGTGAACCTGTGGACGTTAATTAAGCATAGACAATTAAAATGACAGTTTTCCACTGAAAGAATAGCTGAGCTTTGAACTGCTTGTACTAATTCTGAAGGCATGTTATTTCAGAATGTTGGCAAACGTATGTTATGTTTTTTATACCAAAGAAGTTGGATTATATTAAATTAGGACTGTAAAATACTGGTGAGAAAATCTGTTGGCCTGATGGAAGCTTGTTTGCTTTTCAGGTTTGTTCTGGAACAGTACAATGCACTCTCCTGGCTAACCTGTGATCCTGCAACCCAGGACAGACGGTCATGTCTCCCAATTCATTTTGTGGTGCTGAATCAGTTGTATAACTTTATCATGAATATGCTGTGATCTTCATCTGAATTTTGCAAGACAAAAATGAGGAAAAGGGATATTTCACCGCAGGACTAAGTTATAATTCTTCTCAGTGCAAGTTGTTTGTGATGGGGTATGAATCTTGTTACTTCCAGCAAATATTGTTTTGACTTGTGAGAGGGGTGCCTGTCGCCCTGCTGTCTTGGAGTCATCAACTATGGGGGACGCTTTAGAATGATGATCAGAACGTGTATTATAGCATTTTTAGTAGCAAAATTAACCATTTTTCCCCAGCCACAGTATTTGTGAAGAGTAATGAGCCATAGTACCCAGTCATGGTTAATGAATATTCAAAGCATGGAGATGAGAAGGAACGTGAGGAACAATAAGTTTCAACCTATGGCTTCAGAACATCAAGATGTTCTTGTATTGGATTATAGTACCTAGTATTCAAAAATGCCTGCATCTCTTATTTATTGTAAGTTTTTAAATGTATAAATTGTCTTATATTTCTTAACCTCTTTTATAAAAATTTTCCTAGAAGGTTTATACTGCCTTCTTGCTTTAAAGCAATTGGTCTAAAATATATGTAATCGTCTTAATTAAAAGTTGCAGTAGGTTGCTTTTAGAGTATTATTTTTTTGTAAGGGGTGGGTGGGGACAGTAAATTTGTATTGTCTTGATGTACAGTTTAACGGGGATAGAGGGGTTAATGTCCATACCATTGTGTGTGGGGGATTTACAGCTAAGCTGTAGTTGCAGAGTACATGTACAGTAATGAAGTTCACTGTGTTTATATAAATTGAAAAGGTACTGGGTCTTACAGCATTTTATATCACACCTTTACAGAGTAACAATGGCAATATATAAGTGATATTGTAGGTGGTTTAACTTGTAGTGAGAATAAAACGAATAAACCCTTCAATTGAAGTTTGTGTTATGGTTCAGGGCTGTGGCTAGATTCTCAGATCTATTTCCAGTACAAGTTTTAGTATTGCAAGAATATCTTGTGCATTGTTGTTACCTAGATATTCTTGGCACTGTGGCAACTGCATTATTTTCTTCCACATTTGCGATAAAACGTGAATCTGATGCGGAACACGCAGAAAACTGATCTTATCCAAAGTCTCCTGTAAGGCTGAAATTTAGCCCAGCTCTAGCCATTTTACAAATGCAAAAATAGTCAATCTTGACTTTAAGATTGGTGTGTGTTTAACTAAAATGTGGTGTATATAGATTCTCAGTGAATTCTGGTATTCAGATTTTATTCCACTAGTAAAAACAAACAAACAAAAACCACAAACACAACAAAACAACAAAACAGCACGAAACCCTGAACATTTTCCTTTTTCATGTATTTTTGGCACTGTGGTGAAGGTCCCAGGTTTCAGTGTATGGCCTTCTCCATATCCCCTTTTCAGGCTCTGGCTGGGGCACGTGCCAAGGAGGCTTAACCCTCCCTAAGGAAGGGACTGACAAACCACAAGGCTTTCGTAAACGTCTCCCTCTATCTACGGTCACCATTTTTTCTCAGTAGCTTCCTTTCTCCCAGCACATGCCAAATGTCTGATGCTGCTCTAAAATAGCCCCTACGGGTGCTGAAGAGCAACACGGCATACGCTTTTTCTGGGTTCCTCATCTGATTGCCAGGTTAAGATTGCAGTGCTTACACGAGCCTGTTGTGATAACCCATGTCCTGGGTCTTAATACTGTCTGTCTCGCCGGTTTAAACCTTTAAAGGAGCAAGTTTTAAGATCCATTTGTGCACCCACTGTTGATCCTTTAGAAGGAAGAATTCTCTTGCATTTACAAAACTTACTGTGTTAATGAAAAACATGTTTCGTAAATGCAGAATACCTGCCTGAGATCGTTCTTCATATAAATGGTCTCCTTGAACCATGTATATACATTATTAGCAACTTTTTTTTTGGTTTTGTATAAAGAAGGTGTATAATTGGTGGTGAAAGTTTTCACTCATTTCCTCAAAACAACATGAGGGCAATCAGAAGCTAGCGTATTTTGATAAAGAATTAAAAACTGGGTCTGTCCATTACTTTATCTTGATAATGGTAGCACACCTCAGATTAAACAGCACTTTTTTGTCTTACAGAAGGGTTTTTTCTCATTTGACTGAGATTTTTGAAGTGGAAAAGTGCTCCTAAAACTGGAATTTTCAAAGCATGTGTCCTTTTTAATTGTTTTTTTTTTTAAAAGCTTTGTTGCTAAGTGGTCATATTTAATCCTGGCTCAGTTAGCCAAGTTGCAAGGGCTGGGTTTTGGCGCTGCTTTGTGTTAAATCTGACTTGTATGCACAAAGGTAAGTGAATCGGCTGCCTGAACTCTGGTGTAACTGTAGTCTGTTACTTGGACCACAGCCTTCCCTGTGAAACTCTCCAACTGTGAAAGCTGCCACTTTCCCACTCTTCCTCGAATGCCATTAAAGTAAATTATATTATTTGTAACCACTAAAAAGATTAGGTGGACCATTCCTGGAGTGATAGTCACAGCCAGCAATGTACATATCAAACCGTGGAGCCTACTACTACATTGGGCATAATTTTTTGTTACTACTTTCATTTAACTATTTTAAGTGCACATAATAGCTGGTTTATATTCAAAATTGTCACAATTCAATAACTTGGGTTCTTTAGCAAGTACAGGCCTGAATATTTGAGAAGTTCAGCTCTAGCTTCTCAAAACAGTCTTGCAAGACGACAGTGTTCCTGGCAGTGCTCTGTGCAGTAGCTGTGAAGGTTTACCTCCTCTTCAGTACCCAATGAAAGAAGAATCTGAGCTCTGAAATACATAAAATACATAAAAATATGAATTTCAACCTAGCTAATACTCTATTGAAGCCATTTAGTCCCCTCTGACTCACTACTATATGAATTAAACTTCTGAAAACCTTGTTGCTAGACCAGCAGGCCACCAATTGTACTTGGAAACAACCCTTACGTTTTAAAGTAGCTGTAACGTTTAGATCTTTCTAACATTTCCTGAAATAATTAATGATAAACGAATTTATATTTAAGTCCTCAGCTATGTTCTTACTTAGCTGTCAGTTATGGCGCAGATTATTGTATTTCTGTATTTACCTCTGTTGGTAATTTTAACTTCATGTGTTGCTATGAAGACTTGTAATATCAAACTGTTCTGTCGCATTATTTTAAAGCTTTCAAAAATAAGAGTAAAATGTTTTTAAAAAAATGCTACTGCACCATATAATTTGCTGCACAACAGTAGGGCACAGCATATCAGTCTGTTTTGATAGTAATGCTGCATAAATGATGTTTCGATCTGGGTTTCTTTTGAGAATTCATTTGTTAGCTGACAGTATATGACATTACTGTCTTGACAACCTCCAGCTGGGAAGGTTTGGTTTTTTGGTTTAGGTTTTTTGTTTTACTTTGTTGTTGGGTTGTTCTTTTGTGTTTTAGGGGTTTTTTTGTTTTTGGTTTTTTTTTTCCTCGGTAAAGGACCCAGGACTATGCTTCATATGTAAAGGTTTTACTATTATTATTGTTTGTGGGTGTACTTTTTGTTTTCAGTCGACTAAAGCTTAAGTTACAGTAGAACTGGATTTGGGACCTACCACAATCCTCAGGGTCACTTTTTCAGGACGTTACTAATTTAGCTTTAGGTTTTTCCGAGACAACTGGACGTGAGGACCTCGCAGAGCGCTGGGGTTGGGATGATGCAGCCCGTGGCCTCATTACTGGACATGTCACCTTCCCGCCCCTCCCGGCATGGCGGAGCCCCTCGAGGGATACCCCACCA